AATATAAAAACATAGTGAACCAACCAAAAACCGGTCCAAATCGGTGACCCTGTGGTTCAGATGGCCGTTTTACTGTGCTGAAGTCTTTAACTAAATGCTAAAACCACATCTGAAGGAAGCATGCTCATGTTATTCTATTAAAACCATCAATAAAACCAATTTTAAGTATTTGCTATGATTTGGCAATGGAGTTGGTGTGTCACCATAAACGTCTACAGCAATTCAATTGGAGTTTTAGCCCTCTTCCATCGTGAAAAGTAGTGTGATGATGCTTCTCATACAAACAAGTTTAAAAAACTTGATTAAATGTAGGCCATTTGCTATTCGTCTCTGATGCAAAAGCCTATTCTTTAAAGTGTATTTGTCCATGTCTATGATGCCAAAACAGAGTATCGTAAGGCATGTTTGGAATTGGATTGAAAGGAAATATCTTGTTATTCTTACTAGGAATAGCCTTTAAATATAAAGTAATAGCTTTTTTTTTTTCTTAACAAATTTGTTGGTAAACCAGAAACACGTAACACATCTTTAATCAAACCAATTTACCTCAATAATCTCTTTGCCTTGAGCAAGAGCAATGCTGTCAGGGGTATTTTTGTATTAAAGCACCCCTAACACCTATTTCGTCAAATATAGAGCACGAAACTGGACCACATAAGGCAAACCACACCAATCAACAGACCTAAAGCCTATCGGCGGGTTCATCTTACCCCAAAACCCTTAAACAGGTGGGGCATATGGTGAATAACATATATGCTGGAAAACATTTTAAAAAATTTAAGGAATGTTGTAGAAAGGGCCAGAGCCTAACTTTAGAGGACCCTCATTTGGGGTGATGGATGACCTCATAAATAAAAGTCGTGAGCCTTGGGATCCGTTGCAATCATAGGGATGACAATGGGATGGGCAGCTTGGTGCGGCCCAATCAGCATGACCCTAAAAAACTAGGGCTTGTGGCTCAAGGGTCACCCAGGCTAGAGCCATGTTTTTTTTTTCTTTCTTCTTTTTATTTATTTATTTATTTGTTTTTTTTTTTTTTTTTTGAGTTTGGTCAGCTCAGCCAAACCCTGCCCTAATAGGGCCTTGGTCAGGCATGTGCCAATGCCTATTTTGCCTAGTCAGGGTGGGATGGGGCTCGACCTGAGCCTGTATGGACTAGGGTCAAGTTTGGCCGGACCAAACGGGACTCATTGCTATCCTTAGTGGCCCAAATAGCACAATTAGATGGCTAATAAGGGTCATGATTTAAAGCATAAGAAGACAGGTGCAAAGGCGCACCTAAATGAGCTAAAATCTAATCTGACATACCCTAAAGATATCCCCAATGACCTGGGATTCGGATATGTTGTTGCTTGTTGCAAGAGCTTTCTATCAAGGTGTATATTTTGGGAAGTTTTTGATAGCCCCAATAAAAAAACTTAATAAATAAATAAAATTAATAAATAACTTATTCGGATATGTTATTAAATCACACAAGAGATTTGAAGTTCCATACCAAATCCTATAGACTAAGCCATCGGATGACATGCAACATTGTGAGTTATCTTTGGTGAATCTTATTTACCTTCTATCTCATTTTTTCTATCATTTTCTCTCGTTTTTCTAGAGGGGTTAACCTCCTTTTATAGAGAGTACATTTATTTTATAACTCTCACATTCATGTTCTATAGGAATTGAGATCCAAATGTAACTCCTGCATTTATTTCCTTAAGTACAACTAATTAGGATTAACAAGTTATCACCAAACTGTTAATCCTATATAATGAGCTAAACCTATCATTAGTCCACTAATGCCTCACATAATAGAATATCATCCAAGCATTCCCATAATTTGATAAAATATATTTAAAAATTAAATAATTTTGTATATCTAAAATATAGAAAAACAATTCTTACAAAGAATCCAAATACATCACTGGGTTTTCTCTCTAGTAACACTCGGTTTTCCCTCTAGTGCAACATCCTATAAAAACTTCCAAAAATAGATCATAATATATGGCATTGCCTCGTGTCAACCACATGGAATTTCGCATATATTATACAATATAGATTTTATACCATTATTAAAAAAAAAAATTCCGCATTGAATCATGGTGAAACTCCATAGAGAAGTAGAAGTGTTTATAAACTTTTGTTGTTTGTAGGCTGGATGACCTCCACTTGAGTTTTTGGTTTCTCCCTATCTGGGAGGAATTTTGTGATGAGACTTGAACATGGGGACTCACTCGATTCTCTTTCCGTCCATATAGAATATGCCATGATCCCCTAAAACATTAATGGCGATTTGGAGGTCCAAATGTTGCTAACTTTTATGATGCAGCTGAAACCATGGATTCCCACTCACAAGAACACCCTATATCCTTCAGTTTTTGGAGTTTTTGTATGCGGTTTGAGGTAACATACCGCTAGAGTGATTTCTCACGATTCTGTGGAGAACGAAATAAGCAAAAACCAGTGAAAAGGCTGCAAAATAAGCAAGAAACGTATATGGAGACATTACTTTTGCTGATTTTTTATTACACTTTCACAAACAATCCATGACTCTCTCAAGTCTTACAATTTGGTTTTGACACATAAATTTTGCAAGTTTTTTTATGAAATGGTGAAAATACTTATGTGAAAGTATTTTCACGTGAGAAACTTCCTTGTGATTAAGCATGAGAGTTTTTTTTACATCAATTGCATGCCAATTAGTATGAAACAATGAGCTATCACTAATTGGTGTGAGAACAATTTCCACACTTAATCATATGATGAAATTTTTTTTATGTAGAAATATTATCGCAAGTATTTTCACATACATAAAATGTGTCCTCAGGGTTCATTGTGGAAAGAGGGACAATGACACACTCCCTTCCAAGGCTCATATTCCTTGGAGGATGGTGGGGAAGCTCATATTCCCTCTTTTGGAGAGAGATCATGTCTCATCATCCTTCTTGACCTCAATTTATCCACCGAATTGTCTTGTCTAGGGGCTTCCCCAAGTAACATGCAAAGGTGTATGGTCTAAGAGGGCTCGCTCAACTGAGCCCCAGAGGATTCAACCACAAATATTATACATGTCCTGATATTACAACTATAGTAATTGAAGATTTTGATTGTCTTATTCGGTGTTAGAAAACACACGGATCCGGATTAAGATTCAATGGGAACTAGTCTGTTTCCTGGCTGAAAACAGGGATCGACTGCAACTGTTAGAGAACTTGGCGATCCGGCTGATCACCTAGTTCCTACATTTTTTATTTTTGTTATTTTCTTATTTTTTAGGGGCCAATTCTCTCGGCTAAATTGCCAATAGAGATTGGCAATTCGTCAATTTGGACTTGTCTCCCAGATGGTCGGTTCATCCTACTGATCTGGTTTGTTAAAAACTGGTCTTATTTATGTGTATTTGTTTGCTTTTCATCATTTTATGGGTCATATATAATAAACACACCCACAAGAGGGAACGAAACATTCTAGCGACTCCACCGGAGACAAGGGGAGTTAGAGATTTAACTTTCCTCTTTCTTCACATCTCAAAACATGGCTCGTGAGACTTCTCCCACATCCTCTTCCTTGGGATCAGAGGGTTGCACCAAATTTCATCTGCTTCGAAGCCCAACCTGGACTGGTCCTTTAGCTACTATGGTCAACAGCTGAAACCCTATCCTTCAACTCCAAGCCCTCTGTAAAATAATACTTTGCATCAGCATAATGTGATTCGGCGGTTAAAAAAAAGTCTCCTATCAGGATATATGGTGTATTGACTACCCTCTCGACAACACTTAAAAGCATTGATGTAGGGTACATGGCACCACACCATTGTCATGGAGCCAAGGCCACCCTAAAAGGAAGTCTTAGGTTGTGAAAGCTTGAATGACATGGAATCACAAATAGGTGTTCAAATCCCACTTGAATGATGAGACTCGAGGGCTTGAGATGTCGACAGCAAGTCCAATGCAGGTGAGTCCCCTCATGGGCATCATATCGGGAGTAAAACCACCAAATAGCAAGATCATGGGTGCAACTATCCTGATACAAACCATGTCAAAATATGGAACTTCTACCAGGTGACTGCTATGCATGCAATTAGCAAGCATTTCCATATCCTCGACTTGGGCCTCATAATCTTCAGGGTGAGTGAGGGTAAATGACATCATAGACATGCTGACAACCCCATGAGATGTCCATGTATTTGCCTGTAGCTCCTCATGAGATGTCCATGTATTTGCCTGTAGCTTTGCGTTCTAGAGGAAGCCTTGCCAACCCTTAATGAATTTTCAAAGGGTTTTCCTAATATAGCAAAAGGTGATTTTTCAGAATAACTATAATTGAAAATACTCAAAACTTTCAAACGAATATTGTTTTAAATCACGCGATACCATAGAGATTGAAGATAAAGCCTTACAGAATCTTGAAGAAAACCAACTGAAATATAGATAAATTTTTTAAAATCAAAGGGTTTCTTAAAGAAAATAGAAGTCAATACTTTTCGCTCCAAATCTTTTGAACAAAATTCTTTATCAGAGAAATTACAAATCTATTAGAGGAATCCAATGTCGATTTTTGACACATTCCATGGAATTTGGTTGAGAAAAAAAAACAAAAAAAAAAATCTAATAAATGACACGTTGGGATTTTTAAGCTATAAATAAAGATGAACTTTGATCTCTCAATCTCATCAAAAAATGATTTTGATGCAAAAAAGTTGAAAAAAGATTCAATGTGGGGGAGAATGTACGATGAAAAAGTACCCAAAATGAGGAGTCTTCTTCAAGCTTGTCAAACATAAAAAATAAAAAACTTTATTGAATTACCCATTGGAGTATTTCACACCGACCCAAGTCTTTTGATTTAATTTCAAAATATTCATAAAAACACATGCGACATTTTGATGAACTTCCCGAGAAAAAAGAGAGAATCTCAAGACAACAACAGATTTTGGAGGGCCTTGGATCACTTTTCCAATTCCTAGCCAACGCCAGCAGTTCCAAGTCAGGCTTCGAAACGCCACTAAAGACACCACCAATCCTTTTTTTATCATTTCTTAATATTAACTTTGAAGTAATGGAACACTCAAGAACAACTGCGACCTTGAAAATATTTGTGGGGCTCAATGGCTTTGCTTATAATGTATTAATTTCACATAAGACAAACGGTGTAATTCATGTTGGTACAAGTAACGAACCTATCAAAATAATGGACGTGAGGCGGGCCTTTTTCTTGTTACAATGAAACAGTATATTGGAACTGTCGGTATATTAATCCGTAATGTACATGATCCGGTGGCATGACATTGATCAATCTGCTTCTTCTTCTTCGACTGTGAAATCAGGCTCCGAGGGTTTTTGCGGTACTTTGACCAAATCCCCTACCCTTCCCTTGCTCTTCATTGTCCTTAGCCTGTGCACCCCACGAAGAGCATTGGCCGCGAAGCGTGAGGCATAGATCGTGGCTCCCAGGCTTGATGAAGGCGAGGAGCCTCCAAGCCCAACACCACCACCACTTGAGCCATCATCCTCGCCCTCACCCTCCTCTTCTTTGCGTCGAATCTCGGCGAGCTTCCTCTTGGAGTAGCGGCGCCATGCAGCCTGGACGAAGCAGGCTGCCCATGTGCGCCACTGTTGCGAGTAGAAGCGGAAGGTGTGCTGCACCTGTCTGCTGTGCAGCCGCCTGAACTGGCTCGCTACAAACTTCAGCTCTTCAGCAATGAGGGCAAAGGCCTCTACCTCAGTCAGGGCCCTCACTGTCCTTGTGGATGATGGCAAGTTGGCTCCTGACCGTGGGTCCAATGCCCATGTCAATAGCTCCTCACCGCAAAAGTCTCCCTCCTTGAGGAGACTCCGGTTGAAGAACCCAGTCCTCCCTCCATCAGTGGTAATGCTCTCCAGGCGGCCACGTATAATGAAGAGCATCTCATCCACAGGGTCCCCTTCCCTCACAATATACGTGCTCTCTGTGTACAGGCTTGGCTTCAATCGTTCACATATCGCATCTAGCAGACGCTCATCCATGTTATCAAACAGTGGAACCTGGACACCAACCAACCATAGGCCCTTAGTGCTTAATCAAGGGAAAGTGCATGAAGAAATCATGAATAGAAGATGAAAAGTAATAAGGAAGGGGAAAGAATAGGGAGAAGCATAGATTACTTACTCTCCTGACCAAAGCCAAACAGAGGTGGCGCTTGATGTCCCTCCTGAGATCCTTGGGAAGGCTCTGAACCAAGCTCTCCTCATCTACTCCTCTAGTCTCCAACCACCTGTAGTGGTCATAACGCCTGACCCGCTCCCTAAGATCCTGAGGAAGCATACGATGATGCATCCACTGCTCAGAGTCCCGCCGTTTCACCCTCATCTCTTCCAGTCTAATTGTGAGTGACTGCAAATAGGTCTGAGAAGCAAAAGAGAACTCCTTTGAGTTGCGTTTAAGACCTACTGCATCTCAGAATAGTTCTAACAGAAAAAGAAAACCCAAAAAAAGAAAACAATGAAGACTCTGTTTTTATACTTTTTCTTGACTAATAAAGGTGAAAGTACAACAAAGTCATAGCAGCATCGTTAACTAAATGAAGGGTAGACTCTTTCAGTTTCCAAATATGGGTCCTTGTTCTAAATATGGATTCTTTGCCACTGCCTATTTTTGCATGATGTCAGCATAAATATGGTACATGTGATTTGGATTTGGAGAATAAAATCTTGCAAGAGTGTGATGATAGACCTATATTTATGGTTGCTAGTTTTATATGTAACAAGTTGGGTTTTCCTCATTTCTTGGAACTAAAATCCATGGCAAGAACAATCAGTAATGTGCAACAATGCTAATGGAATTTGGTGTTCTGATGCTACTGCATGGAAGAAGTCGTAATTTTTGATAATGAAGGGTCCACATAATTCACTGTAATTTGCCTCATACAAAGAGGTAATGCGAAAATTTGGACCAAATCAATCATTTTTCTTTGTCGGGTGGTTCAGCAGCCCATATGGCCAAAGGACTGAATCCTATTAAATGAATAAATTAAACTCCTATGGCGCTCACTTCAAGTCAGATGACATAGACTTACTGATTCGAAAGAAATGATGGTAAAACTAAAAGAATAAACTAAAATTGTTAAAAAGAAAAATGGTACCATTGATTGTTGAGATTAAAGTCATCCACACCCACCAATAAAAAAACAAGCATCACCCTGTGGCAATATGTAACAATTCTATTATGCATTGTATAAGAAAAAGGGGTATCCTGTTACTTATGGAGACTAGGTTCATGTGTGTAATGTGTGTGTATATCTTCATTTGTTTGGTGTATTATTTCTGTATGGTCATGATACTAGACGTAGGACCTGCTTGTCCTAATGTGAATTTTTTTTTTAAAGTGCTGACATTTGTATTAAGTGAGAAGATCAGAAGAAGTACAAAAAACAGAAAGTATGGCAGCCCTTAGGTGGTCCTAATGTGATTGTGCTGTCATATATATATCATCAGAGCGACCTTTCGCTGGATATATTTCATTCTCTGGGTTATTGCTTTCTTTTGCTCATCTCAAACTTCCTGCCAGTAAACCTTAATCCTAAATTTCAGTTTATTTTTGGGTGGCCAGTTTGGGCTCTTCCAAATTTTATTTTATCTGTTGTTTCGAATGCCTATACACTATCGAGACGTTCTTCTACAAAATATACTTCGTAGAAGTATCTTGATTGTAATAAGACAGCCTCCTCTCCACGATGTCCTGCTACATCATATACGAGGGAAATAACAGGTTACATCTGCTGATTACCTGCATGTTACCAATAAGGAGGGCAAAGAGTATGAGCCCGAGAATGGCAAGAGCTATGGAAAAGATAACCTCCCCAGGGTAAGTGCTTGTCTGGAGACCTTGTCCCAATGTACTGCAAAATAACCAACTGAATCAGATAGGAAAATAATAAAGATAGATATGTTCCTAAAAGTGTTAGGAACTACAGTATGCATATGTACAAACAGATCACACGCAATCAACAGAACAAATATACATCAAAAAGTCAATTTGGCCTAAAACGAATTGACAACATTTACATAAAACCAACACTGGACCAAATGCACCCATTAGAACCTCTCAACCACCCCAGAGGAAATGGCACTGCAAAAGCAATTAGAACCAATAGAGCATGCACACCAGCCATTGTCGATAGAACAATCAAGCCAATAAACAAAACAAAATCAGAATACTGGCTTAAGTTTTAGAAGATACTGTGCGTTAACATATAAAGATCACCTATAAAAAACATACATATATATCAAAAAGTCAATTTGGCCATCAAAGAATTTGCAAAATTCTCATAAAACCTACTACTGGAAGAAATTCCCCTTTAGAATCTCTCAACCACCCAATCGCATTGTAACAGCAATTAGAACCACCAGAGCATGCACACTAGTCAATGTTTATAGAACAATTAATCCATAAAACAAAATACAACCACAATACTGCCATAAAACAAAATAAAACCAGAATACTTAAAAAAGAAGGCTTTTGATTCTGCCTTTTGATTTTTATTTTTTTCTTTCTTTTTCCTAGTGCATCCGCCTGTGGTTTGCCTAGCGCTTTGTACTTCTATTCCTATAATTTAAGGTTAACTCTCTCAAACACAAATGCTGCACAGTACACTGTGGGCTGACAAAAACATTCTCCGACTCTGAGAGACACTTTCACGACCAACTTGGAGGCTTCATAGAGGATCCTAATGACATCCTAGGAAGTCCCACACAAGCTGTGAACTACGACTGCTCACAGGAATAGAGGCAGTCTCAAACCCGATTACCGAAGCAAGGTCGCATGATCCCATTCAATGAGCAATTACGACCCTTGATTATCCTTACCTGAAATTCTTACCTAAGAGACATTTTACACCATAAGCATCTGCAGCAATTCTCAGCCCTCAAGCTTGTAAAACACATGAACACGCCTATAGCCCATCAACTTTCCTCCCGCCCCCAAAAAAAACGGAAAGGAAAAAAACTAAACTGGCAAAAGAAAAATGAAATACAAAACAGCTCTATGACCTCCAACAAAATAAGGAAACTCACGTTAATAATACAGCACTGACTTCCCCCCAAAAAAAAAAATGTTAGTAATACAGAGCTAGGATATTCCTGGTTTAATTTGTTAAGCGTCCGCAGCAATTCACAGCCCTTGAGCTTGCAAAACAAATGAAAAACACTAAGCTTCCCACATCCCAAGCCCCTCCAAAAAAAAACCAAAAAAATAAAAGATACTGGAGAGTCCTTTGACCTCCATCAAAATATGTTAAAGACAGAAATTCAGGTTTGTAATGTGGAGCTGAGATAAGTTTCTTGGTTTTATTTCTCACTTGAATAATTTCCATTTTATCTGTTTTTTCCATTTCTATTTATTTCATGAATATGCCTTGTTGACTGAGAGATGTATTTCAAGCATCTGCTTTGTTTGGACAATATTCGACTCTAAGTCCCACACAAGCACATGTCGTTTGTGCAATATACTAGCACATGTCGTTTGTGCAATATACTCCACCTCTGTCTACCCTATGTAACACAGCACAATAGAAAAAAAGAACGGCCTGCCTATATTAAACATATGAAATGTGACCATTTAATCAATTGAAGATCCTGCTAAACAATGATCAACTATCATGATTACAGATTGCGAACCTCAAATTTTGCAAACCCCACCACAAGCAGTAACAATATTTTGACAAGAACTTCTTTGATGCAACAATTCCTGAAGAAAGTGCTTGTTTATAAATGCCAAAATCAAAATTGTCACTATCAGCAGAGCATTGACCATCCAGAACTCCCTTGCTGATGCTGGACCATCTTTGAAAACCTTCCAAATTCTGATTGCCACAATATAAGTAACTCTTGTTACAGCTGTCACTTGTAGAGCAAGCAAAACGCCAGCATGCATCTTCACGTTCAACAGCAAGCAAGTACCAGAAAGCCCCAACCATCTGCAAAGGTGTGGGGACCATCTAATCAGAATTTTTCTTATTTAATTACAAATGTTCTCAATAAAACCGGTAACTTTTTGGGTATCACATTCATATATAAAAGTTAAAATCCAATGCACACAGTGACAATAACAAATAATAGTGAATGTACTATTGGCAGAATGACCAATTTTATATCATCCATGACAATTCAAACAAATCAAAACATTGCATATTGGTTTTATATAAGTTTGTTTTAGGGAAATCAACTAGAAAATCCTTTTTTATTTTAGAAATTAAAAAATAATCCTATATATTTTATATTTTACAACTAAGTCCCATTTATAGTGAATGTTGTATTTTTATTTTGATCTTTTATGTATGTATCTGATTAAGCTTAAATTTTGGGCATCCATACTTCTCACTAAAACACATTGATGGGAGATTAAATCTACCTTTTTCCCGAGTCTCAAATAAGTAAAATCAGGAATAATGGAGAAAAAAAAATGGCTATAAATCGAGCCAAGAGAATAAGAACTTTTTTTTTTCATAAAATAAAATGCATTCCAAATAATATAAGCATCCCAAAATTTGACATTCAACCTTTGATAAGCCTATGAAACCCTAAAATTAACTTGCGACCTAACTACATATTATAAACTCTAATATACCCCTAAACAATACTAAAATTTCAGAAATACTCCTGTGAATCATAATCCATGAAAACTACCTATAAATAATAACCAGTGAATAGTAAATAAAAATATAAAAAAAACAACCTAGAACCCCTAGAAACTTAAAAAACCCTAAAAATAAACCCTACAACTAAAACTAAAACTAAAACTAAAATATAAATCCTTTGAAATTAAACAAACACTAAAAATTAGAATAATTTTGCCTTGCATCATTCTCTCATAGTTGGAGAAAACTCTACCTCAAGTTTTGAAGTGTGCTAAGATGAATTCAACATCAAAACCACCTTCTTCAAACTTCTTCTTTGTTGACTCTATTATTATTCGTGGTAAAAAAATTTTCCTCAAGAAACAGATCTTGATATATATGCATCGAGGAATTGATGCAGATTTATCAAATTCGGCTATTCTTGGACTCCCAATGAAATTTATGTAGGAAGCTTTCGTCTTAATGTTCTGGCCTTTAGAGGTTTTCTCGACATTTATTTCATTACACTCTGAAACAAGGGCCACAATTTGCGATTTATGAGTCGACCACACTTCTGCAACAATATTTTGATTCCAATGCCCTAAATCTCTCCAACACTCCACCTCTTCAACATACTTGAGATCATCTTTTTTTTCGTTTAAGATCGGTCTAACCACGAAATATTGATCATCATAGATTGAATCTCTTACAAGATCTTGTTCTTCATCTGTATAAGTATCGAAGATTGGTAACGGATCCCAATCTACAACCTGCGTCAAAATCAAGAATGGCACCCTTCAAATCGAAAACCCTAGAGTGATGGTCCCCACATCTAGGTCTTCCATCAGTTTCCTCTTCACTCGACTCTACATGCAGAGTGCGACAGTGAAAATGATGTGCTCGAGATCCTCTTGAGCTGAAAGATCACCGTCTTGCTCATTATTGAGGCTTGCAAACTGTTGCGTCAGTTGCTGAACTTGTCTTTCGAGTCCATCAATTCTCTCTTCTCTAGGATTACGAAGCGGGATTAAGAAACCTTCCCTCCCACTACCGAAATTGGCAGGATCTAGGCTGCTTTGGCAAAACTTTGACCAAAATCAGCAAACCATAAATCCAGCTGCAACTTCCCTGCTTTGCTTTTCAAGAAAACCCAAGCTCTACTACCACATGATGCAAGAAGAAAAGGTAGGATATTAAATATACCTTTTTCCCGAACCTCAAACAAGTAAAATCAACAATAATGGAGAAACAAATAACATGGTTGTAAATCAAGCCTAGAATTTTATTCTTTCATAAAATAAAATACATTCCAAATACCCTAGGCATCCAAAATTTGAAATCCAACATTTTATAAGCCTATGAAACCCTAAAATTAACTTGAAACCCCAGTACACATTCAAGACTCTAAAATACCCTTAAACCATACAAAAACTCCAGAAATAACCCTGGAGCAGTAACCCCAGAATAGTACCTCTGAATAGTAACCAGTGAATAGTAAATTAAAATATAAAAAAAAAATTCATAGAATCTCTAAAAACTCAAAAAAACCTAAAACTAAAATTATAATATACATCAAAAAATAAAAAAATTAGAATAATTTGTCCTGCATCACACACTTGTAAAAATATTAAGAAATTAAATTAATTTAAACAAAAATGATAAAATATCCCTACAAATTCCAAATTTTGGGGTATTTTTAACATTTGTTTATTTTAAATATTTTTTGCATATTTTTTACAAATGCAATATGGTGAAAAGTAGCAAATCCCCAAATTGGAGCTCAATCCGATGAATGGAAAAAGAAAATAAACTAGAAGTGCAATACATAGTCTAAAAAAGTTGGACTTTAAGTGTAAAATATAAAATAAAAAGGACTATTTTTTAAGTTTGATAATAAAATAGCATCTTTCATAAATTTCCCTTTATTTTTTAATAATTACCTTTATGGTACCTTTATTGAAATCTAAATTATCAATCCAGACAAGTCAAAAAATGATTTCAGCTCACCTTCATAAACGTGGCAAATATCAAGTGATCATAATTGTCCTTAAAGAAAACTAGAGAAATATTGAAGCTTAAGAGGTCCTCTATTCCTCTTCCTTTGCTTCCAATCACTCAAATTCGCCATGCATTTTTATCAACTCAACAGAAAAATTTATCTAAGTCTTATAAATCCCAAGGGATCTATCCTTGCTGTTGCCCCCATTTTCTTATAATTAACTTTTTTTTATGGAACTATATATCAAATTATGCTCATTAAGACATTCAAACTGAAAAAGGGACCTGCCCTGTTTAATCTCGAACAACCGTACCAACCCTTTCGAGGCCTGGTTTGCCAATCAAGCCCCAATCAAAGTGTAAGGTAGTGTAACCTCAAACTTAAAATGAATAAGCTCCTGAGCTCCAAATCATGGAACTCTGACAAGACAATAACGCATTGGATCCCCACATCCTTGATCCTCACATAATATCTCGCATGGTGCATCCTTCAATAGGAGAAAGTGGTTCCATTATATGCTCCTTCACAACCCGCAACAGGGTGGCCAAAAGGCATAACTTCAACCACAGAGAACACTTTCAGTACACTAAGAAACTCCGGACCTTTCAAGCATATTGTCAAAGCAGGAAATGATCCATAGTTTCTTTGAAATCGAATCAAAGATAGAAGACGTTAGGAAACTAGAACCCTTGTCGTGCAGATGGTCACCCTATGAACACTTCTCACCAGCGTTTCGGAAATCGATTCACTAGTTTTGGAAATCGATTCGAGTTACATGGACAAGTCTGAGTGGACTCGCCCGAGTCAAGCCCATATCAGTTAATTTGGATAAATAAGAATAAATTGGAAAAAATCAGAATATTTGAGAATAATATAAAAGATGAAATTTTTCTCAAAAATTAAAAAGATTATTGTTGGAACTGAAAAGTATAGGGTATGGAAAAATATTGTTTCCTTCTCAAAAAACCACAAACTTTCAAGCCAAAAATATTAATTTACAGCCATTAATCAAATAAATCATTATGGGGTTATTGAAGAGGGTTGAATCACAATCAAATGGAATTAATTTTCAAATATGGGAGAAATCAACAGAATGACAGATAGATTAGGGTTTGCTCTGAAAAACTGTTTTTTCTTTGTTTCAATAAAACCAAGAGTTTTCAGGGCAGATCTCTCAATCTCTGGCCTTTTATCCAACAAATAAGTATCGGGATCTTGTAAAGGGCTGAATCAAGAACAAATCACACCAGGTATCAATGGATTTGAATGAAAAAAGAGAGAGAAATCCATGTTTAGATGGATTGGTTCAAAATACAGCTCTTTTTCAGCAAAGATCGTCAAATAAATCAGCTAATAATAAGTTTTGACCTATAAATTGATAGAAGAGAGATTGATTTGAGAAAAGGGAATAATATGAGCTTATATGTGAAAACTTTATCAATATTTCCCCAAATTTTTATTAAAATTACTGACAGTCACCTAACTCGGCGTTAATTCGCCTCGCCCATAGAGGGCAAGACCAAGTCTTGAAACACTGCTTCTCACTATATCAAATCGCCATATCTCACACAGTTCACTGTAGGACTCTGGTGATTCCAAGTTACGCTCTTATCATGGCCAGCCAACCTCATTCTTCTCAATCATCTATAGGACTTCAGTTATAGAGTTCTCATTGTGTTTGTGTAGACAATGCTGACAAGTGGATTGTACATTTCTATATTATTCAAATTGCTTTAAAATAAAATAAAATGACCTTTGTGTGTGCGTGTGTGCATCAAGCCGCTCCTAGGCACTCCCACGGTAGGGAACTTCAGCCATGGGTTGATCCAATACTCCTGCTCCCAATCGAGCTTCTGCACTTGCTCTCACTCCCAACAACTATAAGTTAAATATCTATGCTACGTTGAACGCGGGCTCATTGTCCTTCGAAGCGATTCGAAAACAGAACCGATTTAGGAATCGGAAGCTCGGAATTGCCACCAGCTGGAAGAATCTTGTTTTCGGAACCCACGTCCGCATGAAAGATCGCGGGGGACGAGATTCCTATTTTAGGAATCGAGATTCAACCAAAATAGAATCGAGATCCCTAAATAGATAGAATCAAGATTCTTAGCTTTTTAGAATAGAGTTTCCGACCAAGTTGGAATCGACCAATGTGAAATCGAGATTCCTTCAATTTTAGAATCAAAAGGGAACTACGAGGGAAACAAAACATGTCTCAATGCCATTCATTGAACGACATGCCATAAATGCATGTTTGAATTTCTATATTACATTATTTCTAACATCTTGGAGTTGCAAACTCTCCATTGGATCAATACAATACACATACTTAAGAATTAAGTCGAGAACATGGACAACC